CCTCTTTAGTATACCGCGTGTACCTTTCATGATTAAATTCTAATTCTAATTCTAAACGTACAATACCAAATACTGACATAGATATGATTTCTCAACAGATTACGATTCTAATGACCAATATCTAGACATATTATATAGTATAGGTACTACACTTAAACAAGTTTTGTTTCGCAAAACACCATACCACACATTTAGCCGACTGACCTCTAAACATTTCTTTCTGTTTTATACCATTGCTTACCAAGCCCGTAAAGTAAGCAACACCACATACTTGATTTTCAACATATCATTCAAATAAAAAAAAGTTGTTTTTAAATTGATATTACATAATGAAAAATAAAATTATATTGAAAATTTTAATTATGATCATTTAGTAGGATGAACTATTGGTTAGCCATCTAAAAAAATATCAATTAATGGATTAAAAAATATGAATGTATATTAATTTATCTATTACATAGAAAATATGTCACTGGATAAGTATAAAATAATATAGGTATTTGATTTGATGCACTGAATATTTTTATTATTATATTATGTAACTCACCAGATCTAAAAACTTAAAAGGTTTGCATCGAGACATTTTATTTAACCTCTCTTTGGACGTTTTTATAAGCACTGTCATCAAATAGTCAATAAAAAATCCAAATAATGTTTTTATCACTCTTCACTTCTTTCCCTTTTAAGTTTTATTATATACAGATTGACCTCTAGACATTACATTCATGTTTTTTACTCTTGAGTTCTTAAACACTTGAACTTCTGTTAAACCACCAGACCTTTAATATACATATTTAATGCATTATGCTGATATTTACATTCTAAACGTACAGTACGTCATTATCGGGTAATGGCATAGACGGTGATTTCTGAACAAATAAGGATTTTAATTCAACCAATATCAAGACATAACGTACTACGTTTGATACATTTTTGTTATAGGTATCTACAATACACCAGACATTCGATATTTTAGCCTATCGGCTTCTAGACATTACGTTCTCTTTTAAACCATCGCTTACTAAACCTTTAAGTAATGATAATAATATTTTGTATTATCATCATAGCAGCAGTTATCAACCTACTTGTACCATGGTTTTTGATTGTTGTAGTTAAATAGCCATTCGTTAGCCGCTGTCAACTTACCTGTCATGACGGTGTGTTAGAAAAGTCGGTAATCTATAATTAATATGAATCGCTGGTCAACCAAAATATCACAAAACATTTTATTGTGTTTGGTTATCTGTGTACTCATCTATCGGACAATGTGATCATAAATAAGTATTTTATTGGCTCCCGGTCTTTGGAAAACCAAAGAAATATAACAATATTTAAGAAAAAATGTAATATCTGTACAAAGTCATAGCTAACGACTAAATGGATAAAAATTAATAATTCAAACGATAACATATTTTAAAATTTTTTGCCTACAAATTTATGGAATTAAAAACATATGTTGCCATTTGAAAACGTGAACTTAGACCCTTTTTATCGTATAAGGAATGAAAATAAAAATGTTCAAAGCATTGAAAAATGTAGTAAAACATATACCTAAAAGAATAGGAAAAAATGTTTTTTCAAAATATTTATATTTTCCGAGAAAATGAGTTTCACTCTGTATATTCTGTAACAGGTATAAAATATGAAAACCTACATTTTCATACGAACAATGGTTAAATTTAATAGTTGTATGGTTGCAATAAATACGATAAATATTCTATTAAAGTTCAAAGTTGTATACTTATATTATGATTTTTCCTTAAGAGGGCGTCTCTTTCAATATTATAATAGGTGCTGTTACTCTAAAACCAAAATTAATCGAGATATTTTCAGTCTGCTTAAACATGTAGAGATGAAAAAACATTTTTAAATCGCTTTCAAGGATGCTGTGATAGTCCAAAAAACAAATTAACTACCAAAATAGAGTCTTAGTTATTGAACTAATAGTTACACATCACAGTTTAACCTTTAAATTAAGATTTTGTGAAAAATTGCCTATACTTTACTCCTTAAAAATAGGCGTTGCGATGCCTTCTTAAGATTTGGATGGTTGCTCAAAACTTATTAAAAGTCATTAACTTAAACGCGGCTGCTAGAAGTTTTGACATTGTATTAGGTTGAATAATTTATCTAAGTATTCCCCAAATATAAGAAAAACTGTTATAAATGGAAAATAAAATTTGATTTTTTTTTTAACTGTATAATCGTTTGCTTTATTTTTTGGTTATAGGTATCGAAGCACCTCAGATAAACGAAGGTAACCACTAATCACAGTTTTACATGCATATTATAGAGGTATAGCTTGGTTAATTATGAACAAGTTCAACCAAAAGGGGGCAAGTTTTTGTTTTAGAATTTCTGTAAGACTAGTCTCATTGCTACGCTCAAAAAATAGAAATAAAAAAACAATTTTCAGGGTGAGGTTTTATTATATATTTTAGGCTAATCATAACGTATAATGGTTATGCACTAATAAAAATGTATTCTAAAAAATTCAATTTGTTCAAAGTTCTATAAAAATTTGGAACTAATTCGACGGTAATACCTACAGTTGGAGTATTTAACATTTAGAATTTCCTCTCAATAAAGTAGCTTTTAGGTACTAATGATAAGTTGTACAAAAAATTGGCAAAATTGTAGTTCTTTAAAATGTAATTCAACTATATCACGCTACTAGCAACAAGATATTTTTAAACTTGTTTTTATTATTTTGTTTTTAAGCCGATTTTAATGACACTAATCTGACAAATTTGAGATGAAAAAGAAGACTATCAACTCTTCCAGCTATAAAAAAATTAATCCGTACAGTAATAAGTAAATATACATATCAAATTTGTTTATCATTTTATGTATAATTTTCTGTATACATTAATCAATTAATAATAATACAACTATGGAGCGTTAACAACGTGGATACTGGATTTTTCTTAAAATACACTTAATTCAAAGATGCATTACACAGTAACATAAAGATGAGACTTTATCTTTTAATATCGAATGAGCTAAATTTAATTTTTTTGTATTTTTTAGGTGAAAAAGATCCAGATTTTACAATTTATCTCAACATGTGTCGTTTAATAGGGTTATTCAGAGCAATTGAAAATCCAACTTTATATTTAGTAACTTCTGGTATCGATGGTATAAATTGTTGTATATCGGCTATAAACCGCATATACTTCAAATACAGATACTTTGATGGAAATTATTATGAAGTTGACAAATATGACAATCCAGTCTATCTCCTTGATGATCAAATCAAGGAAAATAATTAGATGATTGATAGTTTTCATAGTATATTTAGATTTGGGAAATTTTAAATTAAAATAAATTATATTCGAAAAAAAATTGTTTTATCTTGCATCATTTTAATAGTTAAGTTGTATACTAGTTAAATGAATTACTAATGTATGTGAATAGATTATGTAAGTCTTTGTGTACAACATTTCAAACCTTATAAAATAACATATTTTGTAATCTATTCGTTTGGTTTTTAATGTATAATAACGATATGGGTTTTATTGGCATTGATTATGGATTTTTTTGGTTGGAAAAATAATATTATTATGTTCATTGATGATGGTAACATTTCCAAATCTTTAGTAGCCAGGGCATAATATTATCTCAAATCTCAAAAATATGTAGTGAGTGTTTAGTGTCTGGTTATCGGTTTTAACGACGGACGACGGGGTTGATAATATTATTTAATAGCAAGTAAAATGCTACATGTGTTGAAATCCCAAAGGAATATTGATGAAAACTTCAAGACTTAAAAACGTAATAAGTAACGACCCGATTAATGAAAATTAAAAAACTAACGACGATAGTAAAATTTAATTTTTTACTGCTTTTGTATCGAGTTAAAAATAGTTGTTCTCATCTGGAAAAATGAAGTCACTAATCTTTTAACGTATAAGGGATGAAGTTAAGAATTTTCACAGTATTGAAAAATATAGTAAAATATGAACCAAAAAGAATACGAAATCACGGTTTTTCAGAATATTAATATTTTCCTAGAAATAAAGTGACTTGTTATTATTGTAGACAGACGATTAACTTTGTACTTATCAAAGTCCAAAAATAGAATATTATGCACATTCTTCAAAAAGGTTTTTTTTAGAATAATTATCACACATTTATTTATAAAAATCATTGTTTCTGAACCGATGATTTCCCCGGCCGTAGGATATTACTAAAATAAACTTGAGTGTCACTGGGCTTCTATCATACCAATAGATTATTTCAAATCACCATTGACAATGATTAATATTTTTTTTGGGGGATTTCAAAATTGTAATAGATTTGTTATGTACAGCCTCAACCGAGCGTTGGCTTTCTTATAAGTCTGAAGATAGGTCTAACATATTATACCTACAACAAGTGTAAAATACACTTCGGAACTTTTAACGGTAAAAAGTAGAACATATGTTTTTTAAAAAAAACATTCTATATATTTATATATGCTGGCAAATACTACTAATATAGGTAACATGTGTATTAAAAACGACTTGTTTATAACGTAACTGTTATTACATTTGTATCACCGCACCATTTCAGTGTAAAACAACATATTTCTCCGAACCGTTTTTGCTAATTTTTCCTGTTTCGAAGGATTTCTTACAGTTAATACAACATGTATAAACTGAATTTTACGGTTTTTGTGTTGATGGTCGTTGTATTGGTTGGAACAATGAGCCAATCAGGACTACATAAAGTCATTTGGAATTTGACGATGGACAGCCGCCATTTACACTGCAGTGTAGATATGATTTCCTACCCAGGTTTTGGCATGGTGTTGCCCGAAGTCAAAAACCTTGACAGAACTTCACTTATTGAATTTGGAAAACCAAATTTGCCGATCCTGCAGGTCGACACACAGGTAATAAACTTCTCATAGAAATTTAAATATTTTGCGCTTAAAAGTTTCTCCGAAATCTATTAAAATATAAAATACCTCTCTCAAAAAGTTATATAAGGAAGAACAAGTCAGTTGGAATTTGACGATGGACAGTCGCCATTTACACTGCAGTGTAGATATGATTTCCTACCCTGGTTTTGGCATGGTGTTGCCCGAAGTCAAAAACCTTGACAGAACTTCACTTATTGAATTTGGAAAACCCAATTTGCCGATCCTGCAGGTCGAAACACAGGTAATAAACTTCTCATAGAAATTTAAATATTTTGCGCTTAAAAGTTTCTCTGAAATCTATTAAAATATAAAATACCTCTCTCAAAAAGTTATATAAGGAAGAACAAGTCAGTTGGAATTTGACGATGGACAGCCGCCATTTGCACTGCAGTGTACATATGATTTCCTACCCGGGTTTTGGCATGGTGTTGCCCAAAGTCAAAAACCTTGACAGAACTTCACTTATTGAATTTGGAAAAACAAATTTGCCGATCCTGCAGGTCGACACACAGGTAATAAACTTCTCATAGAAATTTACATATTATTTTGTTTTTAACAGTTATATACCTACCCCACCGACCAGAACTTGTAAGTTTAAAACTAATTGTTGAATTTAACTCTATCGCTGTATTCTTTAAATGTATTTAACAGGTTGTTGGAACGACCTTTCTGACTGGCATCCGAGAAATGGGCAAAGGCCTATTCGCAAAGGTGTGTTACGGAGTTTTGGTCAGTGCAGTAGCTATTGTGATGCTTTTTGCTAGTATTGTCATACTGGTACTCTTACTCACGGCTATTGCACCTTTGCTACTTGTATTGACTTCTTATGCACTGTTGCTGAAACTTCTGACTACCATGGTATTTCTGCCGATGTTTCTAGTATGGATAATCGTCAGTGTCATTGTAGTTTATATTGTTATTCATTTGAAACGTTCACATATCATATGATGTTTTCATACATTAACAATTTTCACATAACTTATATTATTATGGTATAAACTAATTGTATATACTCCAAGCAGCGGTACACCACAGCCATGGTGCGTAACCCGTCTTATACAACTTGGAACACAAACTATATAATTTTGTAAAATAAAATGATTTTGTATTTCACAAGTTTACTGGTTTGTTTTTTTATGCAAATATAGTTTTTAGTAATATCGCATGTTATCGGATCGTTTTTATTAATACCGCTATACAACAGAACAAATGTAGTGAAGCTATTTTTAGATACCGTCGACAATTACTTTTAACTTTAACTCAATACTTTTACTGACATTTGAAAAAAACGCTTTTACATTCGCCCGCTTAACCCTGTAACACGTGGTGGCGGTTAGGTTAGTATAATTATTGTACACTTCATAAGTTTTAGAAATCGAAATTACCACTTGATAACGTTTTATTGACTTTTATACTACGCGTATACTGCATAACTATATCACAAAAATGTAGAAATCGTTTATCTCTTTTTTGGAAATACTCATTAGACGTTGTGAGATAATTATTTTTATTGACCGTACTAGAATTTTTTTTATTTGTCAAAAAATGGAGATCAATAAAATTGGTAAAGCATTGACTAAAATTACGATTTTGAGCGACGCGGTGCATATATTAGTGTTATTTATGAAAGGGTAATTGTTTATATAATGTAAAACGCAGTATTAAAACCTATGTTTCTTAAATTAAATAGCATGGAAAAAAAAATTAGGGATTATTAGAGGTTGTAACTTAATATGGTCATGTTCTAAATTTTCTCCTCTATAAAATCTACTAAATTAGAAATGCCGTATCTCGCCGCTTTTGGAAAATAATGACATAAATAAATGAAATGTGATAGTAATTTTAAATTTTTTCTTTAATATTAGATGAATGTAATCAAAAGAAGTCCTTAATAAAAAATGGAGATTTGTTTGATGTTTTGAGGGTTCGAGGTACCTTAACATTAGTTAACGAATTACAAAATATTCTCTGTCAATACATAAAAAATAATCTGTACGATTGTAACAATATAAAACTGCAATGGGACCAGACAGCAGATAATTTTGAAAGATATCTTGAGCAAAAGCTCTTAGGATTTTGTAGCACGGTAAAATCAAAATGGAATGCATCTAATCGTACCTTAAAAACTTTTTTAAATAATAAGAGTGGTTGGAACTAGAATTTAACTTTAAAAAAGGAAATATTATGAATATTAGAAAAAGAATATATTATAAACATTATATAACGAATTTTGACCAGCTAAAATAGCAATTGAAAACACTTTGCGACGTCGTGGTGTTTTTTTATGTGCTGATCGATTTTTCAAAAACAAATCGTTGTATACGTTAACTCGTCACCGGTCTTGTGCAAGTACTTATATACTTGGAAATATATACACAGGTCTACGTACAAGTCTGCGCGGTGTCTGGCTGACAAAATATATTATGTATTATTGGATCACGTGTGCAGTTCATTGAAATGTAGTATGATTTTCTTATAAACACCGCTTTATCGCATCAGGCACCATTAATAATATTCGGTTAGTAAGTTTGAGCTAATCTCAATGGTTTATTACAATAACATTGAAAAAGTATTAAATTATAAATTATTTTTCTTGGTATTTTAATAACAGTCAAATGTTGACTAACGGTATACTTATTCTTTTTTTTTTTTATATATAAAAATCGTATATTTGCATACATTTTTTTTTAGATATTATGGCATTAAAAAATAAACATTTTTTTTAATTGGGAGGTTAAAAAATATTTTGGGGGACTAGGGGCTAACCGGTTCCCAACTTAGGCCTTAAGTTGCGCCAATGTGTTAATAGTTTCAATAACTATTATTATTTATTTTTAAGACTTATAGAAATAGCAGAAACTACCCTATGTTTTTTGTGTATAAATAAATATTTTATTATTGTATAAACAGTAAAAAAAAACAATTTATTGTTTGAATTCTCGATTATCAGACGTTCTTATATTTTTTCAGATATTCTTATACTTATGTTTAATTGTACAGACTGAAGAATACTGGGCCTGGGCAACGCCAAGTACAATATTTAGACAACTAAATACTTTTTAATATGTACTATTCGAAATTCTCCTATTATTAGAGGTATGGAATTAGTATCAATACATTTCATATTGATTTATTATCTCGTTCAATTATTGATAACAGCTTCAATTTAAATAAAACAGTACTACATTTAACTAGTTTGTGTGAAATATCCAAAGACCTACGATTAGATGTATATATTGTAAATATTTATTAATTATTGTAATCAAATTATTGTCATTATTCGGATCGTCAAGGCGCCGGTATCATAAAAACCATGGTTTGTTTCATTATGCAACATAGTTTGTCTTAGTTGTGTTTTCACATATCATAAATTATTCTCATAATATATAAATTGTGTATCCTTTGTTTTTTCATTTTTACCTATAATAAAAATGAGTGACTTCAAGTCCTTCGAGGGACACCTCGCTGAAGCGAAGCCAGCGTTGTCTGGAAAACGTGGAAGGTCGGTTGATGATTAACTCTGAAAATTATTATAAAAATTATTTGGTTTTTCTCATGTTTGCAGATCCGACGACGGTGGACCGGATTATTCGCTTCCGCCGCCGTTTAAAATGCATAAACCCGAAGACCCGCATGCTTCTTGCACAGCTATCATTGCTGAACTCAGAGAACAAATAGCTAAGATGCAACAAACGTCGAAGCAAAAAGATGCGCAAATTTTTATGAAAGATAAATTGGTAAGTAGTAGCTATTAGCTACTACCAACTTTATATTTGTTTACGGCGTGGTGGTAAACGTATAATATTTGGTAACCATGTATTTTTTTTGTAGTGATATTTATATATATTAATATATAAATATCGTAAAAAGGATTACACTTTGAATATAAATTCAATGTGTAATCCTTTTTCTTGTACCCATGTTAACCTTGTATAATATTTTGTACTATAAATAATTTTGTGTTTTTATGTTTTGTATATAATTATTTTCAATTGTTTAATTATGTTGTACTTGTGACTGTGTGATGTTGTACTTTAAACTGTGTTAAAATGTAAAATTTCTTAATATGTGTTAAATGAATTTGTATTGTTATAACCTATCTAATATTGTCATGCTGTGTAAAAAAATAAATTATGTGATTTGAAAATGAAAGTTATTTTTCGGTCGTTATTAGATATCTTAGGAGAACAAGTATAGATCATTTTTTTTTTTTAATAATCGATAATAGTATATTTTTGATAATAGTATATTGCCGCCGCGACGGGCTGGTGAGCTTTCCGCGCGCGCCGCGGCCTGGTCGCGCCGACCGCCTGCCCCGTTCCGTTGTCCCAGCCGGGCGTCCCGCCACGTGCCGCCGCCTATGGGAACGCAAAATTACCGTATATTATTGAAAATTATTTGTAAAACGGACACACTGTGATAGCCGTTATTTACCTTAAACAAAAACTCTTGCCCTTTGCACAGTCTTAGATTTTTTTTTGGAAAACAATTTTTTTTTTTGAGAACAAACGATCGTCTAAACGGATAACATCGAATTGAATCCATCCTACTTTTAGTTATTTGAATTGAGTCCAGTTTATTATCTTAATATGTTTGATTTTATTACGTAGATAAGATCGTAAGCGTAGTCTCCTTTGCTATTATTAGTAGGGAATTTGGACGGACTATATTGAATTGAGTCCCGAAAAATGGTGTTGGTAAAATAAAACTGGTGGCGAAAAATTCAGAAGTTGGGTCTGTCTAAGGAATATAAGTCTAATTCGGAGAAAAGTAGATATCTCAAGTACTTTTTCGGGTTGCCATTTTCAAACGAAAATGACGTAGTTGAATGTTTCACGGAAGATTTGATGGTGAACCATGTGATGTGATTTGAATTGACAGTTTCACAGATTACTTTTTAGATGATTACATTGACAATGAAATTGGACAGTTTCCTCCCAAAATTCGGTGTGATTTTTCAGCAAGCACTAATCGGACAACTAACAGTTGTGAACGTTTTCATACAAAGTTAAATGCATTGTTTCACTCGGGACATCCGAATATTTTTTTATTCTTGTTGACACTCTTCTGGGCATACAGTCAGATACTTACATAAAAATACGAAGCAATGCAATAAAACCATGTAAAAAAACATTAGAAAAAGAACCATTTTTTACGAGAGCAGATTATCAAACATCAACAAAAATAATTAGCAGATTTGACTATGTGAAATCGGTTTAATTTTAATTTTTACTAGCAACTATTTATATTTCGACGTTATTTTAATTATTTTTAAAAATTATTAAAATTGAAAAAAATTTTTTTTGACCATTTATAAACAGTGTACACAAGCACACACATTTTTTGGGAGACTAATCAGTCAAACGCTAATAGACTGAAGGCTCAACTCAAAAAACCAAAAAACATTTACTTTTGGTCAATGTATTTTATTTTATATTTTTTTTTTTAGTATCTTCAGGGTTGTAGCCCCGTTAAGGATCTATGCTGTAAGTTTTATGGGGTGTTTATTATCTCATGTTTTTTTTTATGGCGGTTCAAATTGATGAGAACAATTTTCATTTTTAAAATAGCGGGTTTTTAGGGGTTTTTGTCGATTTTAAAATTTATTTTCTCAAAAACTTGACGTGCTAAAAAATCTATCGGACAATGTTGGTGTTTCGTCGTTTGCACAAAACTCACCCAAATATAACAACAACACCTAGTTATTCACAGGTAATATTGACCTTTATCTTTTTTATTGTAGGCGTTTTAAAATCACTTGGACAGGCAAGGTATAATACTACATCTATTAACCAACTTATTTGAAAGGGGTACATTTATCAACATGTTTTTGCCATTGAAAAGATCATCGACGAAATGATCTCAAATGTGAAATTAACACTACAAATTGCGCCGTTCAAATGAAATAATTTAGGTGTTATATTTTGTACAGTTACAGAGTGTACCACTTTGGTCATTTAAAAAAAGGGTTAAATATAGTAACCGTGTTTATTTATACACATACTGGCACTACTTAATCGATTTGTAAATCAAGATATTATGCTGTTACTTAGGCTAAGTGTAACTTGGCTAAAGTCTTTATTGAGATTGTACGTCACTCTGGATCCAGGGATCACTAATACTCATCTTTGCTACCTATTTAGTCTATTATTATAGTCTTATTATCTCAACATCTAAATTATAAAGAAACAAATGTATGACTTTATGCATTATAATTACTATTATATAAGATCACACATGTTGCAACATTAGACCGGAATGGTATGTTCAGCAATTTTAATAACAATCAACATGCTCTCTGTGGATTTTAATAAATGTATACTAACTTTAAATGATCAAATATTAGAAGATCTAAACCCCTTAAGTTTTAAAACATGACGTGTCCTGGCCCAGAAGTAATGCTAAGTATATTTAGAAAACAAAATACTTTTTAATATGTACTATTCGAAATTCTCCTATGATTACAGGTATGGAATTAGTCGATACATTTCATATTGATTTATTTTCACGTTCGACTATTGATGACAGCTTTAATTTAAATAAAATAGTACTACATTTAAATAGTTTGTGTGAAATATCCAAAGACTACGATTAGATGTATATTTTGTATATATTTATTAATTATTGTAATCAAATTATTGTCATTATTCGGATCGCCAAGGCGCCGGTGTCTTAGGAACCACGGTTTGTTACATATTAAGCAACTCCGTTAATCTTGGTTGTGTTTTCACATATTATAAATTGTTCGCATAATATATAAATTGTGTATCCTTTGTTTTTTCATTTTTACCTATAATAAAAATGAGTGACATCAAGTTTTTCGAGGGACACCTCGCTGAAGCGAAGCCAGCGTTGTCTGGAAAACGTGGAAGGTCGGTTGATAATTAACTCTGAAAATAATGAAAAAAATTTAATTTGGTTTTTCTCATATGTTTGCAGATCCGACGACGGTGCACCGGATTATTCGCTTCCACCGCCGTTTAAAATGCACAAACCCGTCGACCCACATGCCTCTTGCACGGCTACCATTGCTGAACTAAGAGAACAATTAGCTAAGATGCAACAGTCATCAAAGCAAAAAGATGCGCAAATTTTGACCAAAGACAAATTGGTATGTAGAAATTTACAGCGCTCCGGTTAGGGTTTGAACGAACGAGGGGGATTCTTTTGTGAAATACCCTGATTTTTTTTTGTTGATAGATTTTCGATCTGAGAGCAAAACGTTTCGCCGCCGAAACTGAGCTGCGCAAAAAGATGGACTCTGATAAAATAGTTTATAACAGGAACGCGGAAATGTTGACGAGTAAAATCCAAACGCTACAAAAAGATTTTGACACTTTGTCAAAGATAAGTCGCAAGTGGAATGCTGCTGCAAAGTCCGGCGGTAAGGCGAAATAAATTCCATAGTAGGTTACTATGAGTTGTACTATTAAGGTAGTACCCTATTTCATAGGGTCTACCGACTTTATATTGTTTTCTACTTAGATGTATAAGTCCACCATAGTCTGTTACGTGGCTGCCCAAGCTGTCGATATCCGGATGTCCTAGTATGTAGTATTTAGTTAAACTTAAGTGTTCCCGGGTCGACATTGGATGCATAAGTCTACCACAGTCTGTTACGTGGCCGCCCAAGCTGTCGATATCCGTATGTCCTAGTCCTACAGACTAGGACTTAAGATTAACTTAATACTACATATTAAATTGAACTTAATTATTAAGTATTTTCTTATACTTTTGTTAACCTTGTATATTATTTGTGTATTTATGATTCGTATTTAATATTTTCAATTGTTTAATTATGTTGTATTTGTGACTGTGTGATGTTGTACTTTAAACTTTATTAAAGTTGTATAAAATGTAAAATGTGTTAATATATATAAAATTAATTTATATTGTTATAACCCATCGAATAAATGTCATGCTTTGTAAAAAAATAAATTATGTGATTTGAAAGTTTGTTATTTTTCGGTTGTTTTTAGGTATCTTAGGAGAAAAAATGTAGATGATTTTTTGTTTTGTTTTAAATAATCAATGAAATCTTTTGATAATAGTAGTTTACTATT